CCCTCATCTCTCCAGCCCTCGGCTTTCTCATCTGTGAAATGCAGGTGACGGGACCATCTGCAAAGGAGTGCCGTGAGGATGAGTTCATGCAGGCAGCGTGCCCAGCACATCTTAGACCCACAGTCGCCATCCTGAGGTTGGTAGAGACATAGCCGCAGACGGGCCGGGTGCAGAGGAAGCTGTCATGGAGAAGTTCCGTGAGGTCGACCCGCACTCCAGACGATCCCTCGACTCCTCCTGCCACGGTGGGCAGGATCTGTGAAGGGCTGAATGCCCCACACCACAACCTAGACTGAGGGTGCCTCCCTTTCTTTTAAAAATTTGGGAAACCCTCATGCCTTGCTCTTGAGAAGTCAAAATGGTACAGCCACTTTGGAAAAGTATGGCAGTCTCTCAGAAAGATCTAGAATTACCACATGATCCAGCAAGTCCACTCTTAGAGACAGTCCAAGAGAAATTAGAACATGTGCCTGCAAAATAATTGGTACATGAGCGTTCATTGCAGCATTGTCCATAATAGCCAAGAGGAGCAAACAGCTCAAATATCCAGCAACTCATGAATGGAGAAACACCATGCGGTATGCTCATCCAGGAGAACATCACTCAGCCCTAGAAGGGGATGAAGTACTAGTACCTGCTGTAACAGAACTAGATCTTGATAACTTTGTGCTGAATGAAATAAGCCAAGCCACAAAAGGACGAATACTGTATGATTCTGTTTCTGTGAAACATCCTGAATAGACAAATCCATAAAGACGGATGGATTAGTAGGTGCCGGGGCCTGGGGATAGGGAATGACAATTTATGGGATTGGGGTTTATTTGGAGGGAGATGAAAATATTTTAGAATTAGGTAGTGGTGGTGGTTGTACAATTTTGTGATTATACTAAAAACCACTGAATTTTATGGTATGTGAATCAAATCACAATATGAATAATTAAATTGTTACCAAAAAAAAAAAAAAAGGACAGTTTCACATGCCAGCTGGAGCATGTTCTTACTGTGGATGGAGAAACGAGACGGGCAGTGCGGGGAGGGGTGGAGAGCTTTGCCTATAAAATCAGACTAACCAGCTTCCCTCCCTCAGCCGTGCCTGGCTCTGAATGGGCTGGGGCTGCCTCGAGTTTTCTCAATGCCACAGAAATCAAAGAGCCGCGGGGATGCTGGGGCTCAGCGTGTGGGCAGCAGGTTGCTCGCCTCCAGGCACTGGGCCAGCCCCACCCAGCAGGAAACACATAGGAAGAAAGCAGAGCTCCTAAGCATGTTTTGCCTTGGTCTTAAGATTTACAAGGATCGTGTTTTCCTAACCTCAAATCAGGACTGATAATTACAGTTTGTGCTCATGGGGACTGTAGGATACACCATTTTAAGTTAGGACTGTCTCGCAAGATCTAATCACAAGGCTTCGATTTTCCTGGACACATCCCTCGAAGCAGACAAGCTTCCGAAGAACTTAGACTCTTTGGGGAGTCCCAGGGAACAATTTTTTTCCTACAACTCAGGTTTCCTGGTGAAAGGTATTTCATCAGAACTGGACAGTGGTCAACCCTTATCTGTGATTTTGCTTTCAGAGATTTTCATTAGTTGTGGTCCACCACCATCTGGAAGCAATGGTCCTCCTTCTGACATATGATCAGAAGGTCGGTGGTACGTCGATGTCACAATGCCCAAGCCATTCACCTCATCATTCGCGTCAGCACAAGGAGAAGCGTGAGTACAGGGCAATACGAGGTTTTGAGAGAGGGAGACCACAGTCACATTTTAATGAGGTGCATATTGATATAATTGTTCCATAATTATTCTACTTTATTAGTTATTGTTAGTAATATCTGACTATTCCTATTTTATAAATTAAACTTTATCATAAATTTTATGTATGTATAGGAAAAAATATAGTACATCTAACGTTCGTTACTATCTGCCATTTCAGGCATCCACTGGGGGGGGTCTTGGAATGTACCCCCCACAGATGAGGGGGACTACTGTACTTTTTAGCCTGAGAGCAAATCTAGTGCAGGGCTTGGGTTGAGTGAGGTGCCTGTCACCTTTCCTGTGGCAGGACTCAGGCTCCAGACCTAGAAAATCTATGTGCCTTTCCTCTGGTTCCTCAAAGCCTGTTTGGAATATTGACAGGAAGTTCAGTGCAGCAGAAACACTGAGGGGTTCTCTTTACTTCCCCAACACAAACGTGACCACCATTCCCCAATAGGGACAGATGTCACAGACTAGGCATGGGGCCAGTCGCATTTGGGGGGAACTGTTGAGTGTTCTCTGAAATAGCTGGAGCTTCCACTGACCATGTGGCTAGACCCTGCTGGGGCGCCTTATCTAACACGGAATAGGGCCTGAGAGAATTCAGGACTTCCTTCCTAGCTGAGACACACCCTTATTCAAAAAGTTTCCTTATACCCACCATCCTCTACCTCTGCCACCCTGGACCAAGCCACCGACATTCGTATCTGGATTAATCCAATAGCCACTTGATTGGTCTCTACGTCCAGCCCCGTTCCCTGCCTCCCAGAAGTCTATTCTCAAATCAGCAGAGAGATGTTTGGGTTTTTTTTAAGATTGTATTTATTTATTTATTGGAGCTGGCGGGGAGGGAGAGGGCCTAGCAGATTCAGCCCAGAGCCCCCCTCAGGGCTCAATCCCATGACCCAGAGATCACCACCTGAGCGGAAACCGAGAGTCGGCCGCTTAACCAACCACGCCACCCAGGCGCCCCCAGAGAGATTCTTTTAAAACATAAATGATATCACCCCTCAAAACCCTGCAGTGGCTCCCTAAAAGCCAAAGTCCTTACCAGGGTCCACAAAGCCCTACGTGATGATCATACGATCCCCCGACCCCTCACCATACACGCCCCACAGACACACATTCCCAGCCTGTCCCCACAGATACATGCCCCCTCCCCCACAAACACCCCTCTGCAGTCACCTCCAGTCCTTATGCTCATCACCCTGTTCCTCCTACTGATTCTCGGCTTGCCCCTGCCTTTGTATTTCCAGCCTGGAGGCTCTTCCCAGCTCCCTGTGTGGCTCTTTCCCCACTTCCAGCAATTACTTCTCCCTTACCACGGGGGCATTCCTTGAGCACCCTCGTTAAAGGGGCCATCCCCTTCCTCCATAACCCTGACCCTGTTCATTTTTCTCAGTGGCATTTACCACCATTAACACTTCATGCCTAGACACATGGATTATATATATATATATATATACACAGATACATATGTAATATGTATAATCCATTTGTCTATCATTCCCGTGGAAATAAACGCAGACCAACCATATGAGAAAAGCGAAAGCTACTACTTATTCAAAACTCACAACAGCAAGGGGGTCAGCCGCACCACTCGAACTCTTGCAGAGACTCACAGGCAAGGAGAGGAGCAGGAAAGCTTTATGGTGCAACAGAGGGAAGGCTTCAGGTGTGGTCTGCCGGGGGTCTGTCGGCATGGGGAGCTGTTGGCGGGCTCACTGGAGGGGGTGCATCTTGTGGGACTGGTGAGGAGTGGATATTTGGCTTTCTGTGGTTGGTCCTCATTTGGAAGTGGACATAAAGTTAGGGAAGCTGTCGTAATCCATCAAGCCCTGGCCATTCTGGGCAGATTGGCACAGACATTCTTGCTCACCTTCCGAGACTGTTACTAGATCTAGCAATCTGGCTTCCGGCGAGCCTGACTTCCAAAAGGCTGGCGTCCTGTGCCGCTCACTGTGGACCAGGGCTTGCTTTCCCGCAGGCTATAGGTCAGAGTTCTGTTTTTATCTACGGTCCGACCGTTGTTCGTTTGTATATTCAGTCTCTCGTCCTTCACTAGGACATAAGTGGTAAGAACATTGTTTTTATTTACTGCTCTAACCCCAGAGCCTAAAATAGTGCCCGGTGCCTCATAGGCACATGGTGACTGTTTGCTATATCATAATGTTTGTCCAGGTCTAGTCAGAAACACCGTGGCTCTGCCGCATGACCTGAATAGCAAACCCCCTGCAAGCTGGCATAATTCAGTCCCAGGCTACAGATGTTTGTTGAGTGCTTGCTACATACCCAGGAGGCTCCGTCTGGGGCTGTGGTTATTCACTCAGGTTACACAGGACAAGCATCGGCTGCACATGGGTAGAAGGCTGGGATTCTGAGTGCTTTCGCCTTTGCTCAAAATTTCTCTTCTCTCCCACTTTGAACTCATCTCTACTTTTGGGGTCCCGCAGGTTCCAGGTCCTGCATTATATTCAGAGACTGCTGTGGCCCACGCCTGCTTTCTCCAGCACTTACTTCCTGTGAAATGCATTTAGTCCCCACAAAGTGCCCGTGTGGTAGCTGGTTGTCTTCTTCATGAGCTGGTTATCTTCCCAGCTGGATTATTCCCTTTTAGAGCAGGAGCCGCCTCTCACCCCCAAAACAGGTGGTCTGAGTCTCTCCCCATCCCCCCACCCCTCCTATCGTTGACCTTTTCCCTGAGCTCTGGATCAGATGTCTCCCTGGCCCCGGGACCCTGCCATTTTCTACACACGGAAGTCCCACCTGGCTCAGAACTGTATGCTGGCCTGACAGCCCAAGGCCGGGGCCCTCTACTCGGCATCTTAATTATTTTCTGAGAAGGGCTCCCCATTAAGTCTTTTACAAAAATATTTAAATAGTTCTGAGTTATCTGTTCTTCCAGAAAGGTTTGGGTTAATTTATCTTTCAGACAGAACACTCAAGGGAAGGGGCACCTGGGTGGCACAGTCGATTAAGCATCCTGACTCTTGGCTTAGGCTCAGGTCATGATCTCAGGGTCGTGGGATCGAGCCCCGCGTCAGGCTCAGCACTCAGCTTGGAGTCTGCTTGGGATTCTCTCTTTCTCTCTCCCTCTGCCCCTCCTCCTGCTCTCACGCTCTTGCTCTCTCTCAAATAAATAAATAAATCTTAAAAACACACACACACACACTCAAGGAACCAAGAAACGAATAGGCCAGGATGGTACGGGGAGTAGAATCTTCGGGGAGGGCTTATCAGCAGGCTAAGGTCAGCCGTAGCAGACAGAACGGAAGCTCCCCAAGGGCAAGGATTTGGGGCAGCTGTGTTTACTCATGAATCAACACCTGGCACACAGGAGATGCTCCATAAATATTTATTGAATGAATGGGAGTTATAAACACGCACATTAAGTATGAAATGAGAAACGCCAAGTTTCAGTAGCGATCCTTTTCAATATTCACTCATTTTGTCGCTTGGATTTTCTCAGCCATCACAAAGCACATTCCATAAAAAAAGGCAAACGATAGAAGTACAGATGCGAAAGAGGGCTCTGAGGAGTGAAAGTGTCCATGCCTGGTTTCTGTTCGCAAGCCGCACATGCTTGTAACACCCTGCTTCCCACGGAGCGCGACGGAAAGCTTAAACTCCAGAATTCACCACGTGGTTTCACATCCCTCAACAATGATGGGTCCCTCTGTGGTCTAATCCCTGAACATCCCTGCCCCAATTTTATGACTCAGAAGCAGGCAACTCAAAGTTAGCTACAGAAGTCCATATGTGTTTAAGGCCTTGAAAGGGAAATGTGAGAAATTTTTCACAAGATCCGTAGCACTCCCTGGCTTTATTTTATTCAGATAACTTTTTTTTTTCCCCAGACCTGGTAAATGTTAGAAAACAAATGGCCTCAGCCCTGGACCTCAGACTTCTGATTTCCCCTCACCCAGGAACCAAATATGCAAAGGGAAGAGCAGATTTTCTCTTGGCCAAAGAACGCCTCACCTGGGGCCACTCCTGACCCCATGTCTTGGCTTCCTCCAGGCTCCCATCTTGGGGCTTGGAAGGCAAGCGGCTCTTCCTGCCCATCACCAGGGGAGAAACTGAGCCCTCAAACAGACCCTAGCCTTCGGGAAGTCCCTCCCTGTGCCTGACTTAAATCTCTTCTGGCCGAGAAGCCCAAGCCCAATTCCCTCCTGCCCTGTCATCACTGGAGAAGGGGAAACAGCTGCTCACTGCTCTCCTTTTAATCATCCTTAATGGGCTCGTAAACAGTTATTAGGTCCTCCTCCAGCCTTCTCTGAGCCTCATTTTACTTGCATTGAGGCTGAGAGCTTCTGAGGAAGGCATTTTACTCAGGGCTCCACAGACTTGTGGAGTCTTAAATGGGTAATCAGCCACTTCACCCACTTTAACCTCCACAAATGAACAGCTCTGCCTCCTTTTGCAAAATTTAAATCTATTCAAGGGAGTTCCCTGGCAACCAACCCTTATTAATAAATCACGCCTGTTCTAGGCCGGACAGGGCATTTTTTCAATGTTTCTTTCTCTTAAGAAGTCACCCTCGTGCAAAGACACACAATGAACACACAGCCGCTCCCTCGAAGTTCGGCATTTGCAGGATTGTGGGCCTGGGGAGTTCTCATCTGGCTCCCCAACTGAGAAGGGGGTGTGTTGCTCTAATAGACTCTCGCTGGGCCTTTCTTCTGGTTACTAGATTAGGAACATAGCAGCTGGAGGGGTCGGAGGCAGGACATAGAGCTACAGCAAGACCTGCTCAGCCTCCACTAGGCACACACTGGAAAGTTCCATTTTCTGCTCCATCATGCTACCGTTTATTTTCAGTATTGTTCATGCCCACTGGGGAAAGTCCCAGTTGTATGACTGGTTAGAGCTTCCTGTTGTGTCTCCCCTCTGGGTCCTGTGGTTCCCTCCGATGGCAGGAGGTAGGGGAGGAACAGGGCACGGAGGTGGGACGGTGGGTGTTGTTTTAACTTTGAGAAAGAGTGATTTCATTTCAAGAGAAATTTTAACCAGGATGGCTAAGATGACGGGGACTGACAACACCAAGTGTGGGCAAAGAAGTAAAGCAATTGAAACTCTCAGTCATGGCTGGTGGAAATGTACATTGGCGCCACCAGCTTTGGAATTCTCGGCCAACGCCAGCAATGGCTCTGACAGTTCCACTCTCAGGAATATGCTCGGAAGGAATAAGAGATTTATGCCCAGCAAAAAACCTGCACAAGAAGGTTCATAGCGATGGGATTTATAATAGTAAAATACCGGAAGCAGCCACCCAAGTGCAGAATGGATAAACAAACTGAGGCCTAGTCCTGCAATGGAAGAGGACACACAGTGGAAGAGAACTGAATCACTAATCTATAGTGCCACATGGATGAATCTCACAGATGTGATGCTGAGCAAAAGAAGCCAGACATCGGGGGACCTAGGTGGCTCAGTCGGTTAAGCATCGACTCTTGGTATCGGCCCGGTCATGATCTCAGGGTTGTGGGATCGAGCCCCGAGTCTGGCTCCGAGCTCAGTGGGGAGTCTGCTTGAGATTCTCTCTCCCTCTCCCTCTGCCCCTCCCCCCTTCTCTCTCTCTAAAATAAACAAATAGGGGCGCCTGGGTGGCTCAGTTGGTTAAGCGACTGCCTTCGGCTCAGGTCATGATCCCGGAGTCCCGGGATCGAGTCCCACGTCGGGCTCCCTGCTCAGCGGGGAGTCTGCTTCTCCCTCTGACCCTCCTCCCTCTCATGCTCTCTGTCTCTCATTCTCTCTCTCGCAAATAAATAAAATCTTAAAAAAAAAAAATTAAAATAAACAAATAAATCTTAAAAAAAAAAAAAAAGCCAGACACAAAAGAGCATGTTCTGTGTGATTGCACTTATATGAAATTCAGAAAAGGCAAAAACTAATCTAGGATGATCAAGATCAGAAGAGTGGCTGCCTCTGAGGGGAGCCTATTATGAGTGGAATAGCTTGGATCCATGCACTTGATTGAACGTAAGTTACACCTTCATAAAAAAAAAAATACAAGAAGGTGTCCATTGTGTTTTCTTCTCCCCAGATGAATAACTGATTATTTATTCATCAATTTTTTTTTTTTTTTTTACTGCTCTGTTTCTTTTTAAACATTTGAGGTGACTTCCGAAGGTGTGTGGCTTTGTGTGTTCATCAGGGAAGAAACTGGAGTGGTGCTACACAAGGATAGGGGATCGAGATGAAACCCGCTGTGAGGGGAGCCCTCAGTATTTATGTCAGGAAGTCCTGAGCACTTCCTACGGAGCTTCCCAGCAGTCCACATGAAGAAGAGACATGATTCCACATCCAAAAGTTAACAGTTCATCTGATCAGAGGACAGAGACCCGAGAGAAATTTCTCCCGTGCTGTCTCAGAAAAGGGCAACTATGTGTGTTTTAAACATCCCATTCGGGGCCCTGGCTCTCTCAGTCCTTCAGCCCGTGTTTTCACCCCTGATGCTCCCACCCCTGCCCTCATGGGAACTAGGGCGAGGCAGTCTCCCAGAGACACTCGAGGCCCCTCCCCCTTGCTGCGATGTGGGGCCTGCACCCAGATACCTGTTATTTTCCCGGGTGCAGTTTGGGGGAAGCCCTGCTCGTGAGGACTGGGCTTCTGCTCTTTGGGGTGCCCGGCTTGCCATTCTGGTTTCTGGAACGGGGGCGTCCTCAGCTGGAGCTTTGCCGCTCAGCCCATCTCGCTCACCGGTGCTCCTCGGTGGCCTGGCCCCTTCCCCAGCGACAGCTCTACTCGGAGCAGTTCTCTGGGGGTCTGGCTCTTTCCATCTTGGCATTTGGGTTGAGGGATCTTTCCACTTTCTGGCTCCCGTGTTTGAGTTGAATTCATATACTGCCCCAGTAACTAGGGGAAAAAACATATAACCACCATATAAATGAGGGAATTCAAATGCTCTCCTCCCCCATCTCTACCTGGCTCCTTTCTTACCCCAGGGAAAGAGGAAAGGCGCTAGGAGGGGTGAATCATGGAGAGAGGAAGCAGGCTCATGAATGGCACAATCTTCACCAGCCTGCCCTTCCTATGAGCTTTAGGACTCTGACCACAGAGGTAGCAAATATCATGCCTCCCTGGATAGAAAGACTTCGGACAGGCTCTCGGTTGCAAGATTAGAAAGCCACATAAATCTTGAATTCCATGTCCGCTTTGGATACATTTGGTTCAGTTTCTAATGGGGTTACCCATTATGTTCTGATTTTTTTTTTAAAGATTTTATTTATTTTTTTGAGAGAGACAGAGCAAGAGAGCCTGAGCTGGGGGGGAGGGGCAGAGGGAGAAGCAAGCTTCCCGCTGAGCAGGGAGCCCGACGTGGGGCTCGATCCCAGGACCCTGGGATCATGACCTGAACAGAAGGCAGACGCTTCATGGCCTGAGCCCCCCAGGCGCCCCTGATGGGTTTGTTTTAAAAGCCCCCTGAATTCCAGACACAAGAAGGAAGCCATGGAGTAGGGAGGAAAGGACTCTGATTTTTACGTATGTTAGGTTAGCGGAGATTCATGGACACAGACACGAAGCCTCTGTGGAGATGGTGCGAGAGAGCCGTGTGACTGAGCCAGAGCAGCGGGCACTAATCGGTGCGCTCGTTCACATCAGTGCAGTTGGCTCCTCTCTTCCTTTTTTCCGTCTCTCAGCACATGAATGTCGATGACAGCCTTGGTCCTTCCGGGCTTTTGCCCCAGAAGATGGAGTCTCAGGCGATCCCCTGCTCTTGCTATGAGTGGCCTCTCGGCAGAAGATCCCACCAGCACTTATGCTAATGTGGGCACATTATGGTGACAAGTACCTAATAATAGAGGGAAATTTAATTCCGGCAGCGGCAGCAGCCTCTCCTGGAGAGGAGCCACCCTTCCGAGAAGGACCGAGCCACTTGCATGTGAGGATGGCAGGGAGCCAGCACACTTGCCTCCCGAGTTTGGTTTCCTTCCCTTTATTCACATCTATAATTGAGCCTTTGTAAGTGGAGGGATGTGTGTAAAGGAGCTAAATTTGGAGCTGATTTCATGGGGGTGAGGGGAGCTCTGGAGGCCAGCTTTACCTTATGTTCATCTTGCCGACCAAGAAGAAATTCTTGGCCCCGATCTAGGGGAAAAGGGAGCCAAGCCTGCCATTTCTCCATCTCTCTCACTACCAATAGGGTGGTGTTAGAAGCATTCAGAAAGGACTGGGGGAGGAGGTTGAGCTCCAAAGGGCAGGCAGAATGCACCAGTCTCCTGAGTTGGTTTGCGATTTAGGAAGGGAGGCTAGCAAGGGCGGGAGGCTTTAGGTGGAAATCCGGCTGGCATCTGCCAGCTCAGAGGTGATCTCCCCCGGGATGGCAGCGGAAGGGTCAGGCAACACCCTCAAACGGAGGGACAAACTGAGTTAAGGGCAGGACCTTGGATACGGTCCTCCGTGACTCTACCCACCTGGAATATGAAAAACACCTTTTGGATGGATGGCACTGCCACTTAATTACCTGGGTCGATGGCTTCTCCATCAAAGACAGAGTTCATCTGAATTGTTTCCTAAGGAGGAAAAGAGAAAGCTTCAAGCACAGCCCTGCACGCCTCCCGCCCTGCCAGGCCACTCATCCTCATAGCCTGCTGCGTTCCTGACCCAGGGCCTTCTTGACCCTTGTCTACTCACTAGGCACCGTGCTAGATGCTGGGGACACAGTGGTGAACACGACAGGTGTGGGGGCTGCCTGCACAAAGCTTGTAGTCAGTGGGAGCCCCTGCCAACAGGTGCATGACATAGAGTGATAAGGTGGACGTGGGACTCTGGCATGCTCGGGGCCCAGGAGGGCCAGGAGGACATCTAATCCAGCTTGGGAGGCAGGAAAGCATCCCAAGTAAAGGCTGTCTAAGCTGCACAGAAAGAAGAGCAGAAATGCCACATAACCCTGGCTGAGACCTCCTTTGCCTAAGTGGGATCTGTCAGGCAGGTGGGCGTGGCAGGCAGAGAGAAGCACTCACGTGCTCCCACCCGTGGCCTCTGGCTGTGTCCCCTTGCCTAGGCCAACACAGTGTTGCATCTGGGCCTGGCCTGCCTTCCCTACGCCCGGTGCTCCAGCTCCCCTCCTTCCCCTGTTCTCTGTGCCACCCTCTGGGGACCTGACCTCCGTCCCCAGGGAAACACCCCCTTCTCTCACAAGGTGCCCTCTGGAGGTGCCCTTCTTTAGCATGCTAATGAGGATGATGTTTGGAGTCTAGGGGGTTCTAATCACACCAGCCATCATCTACGCACTGACCCACGGCTCCCCAACTCCCATGACAGAGGAAATGGAGACCATATGGGTTTTATCCATTTGAACAGTTCAGCAGCTACACTTTTTATGGTCATGGGGATTTACTTATTTAATTAATTTAATGCATATTTCTAAGGTGCTCTCTGAGTGGCATCACCAAGGGGACTTGCCTTAGACACTAAGACTAAGGAGATAAGAGATCCCCCTTTCCTCCCGAGTGTAGACAGGCCTGTCTGGATAAGCACTTAGGTGACGGACCTGAAACAGAAATTCTAGAGCACTGGATAGTGTTTGTCATTGTGCATATCATTCCCCCCATTTATGGGTCTTGGATCATAACAGAATCTTATTATCAGGGGGTGAGGGAGACTGGAGGGGTCACCTTCAAGTTCTGTCACTTCCCAGTGGGCAGATCAGGTTCAGTAAAGAAAAACAAGGAAGTAAGGGTGGGGGGCGGTGGGGAGACTCTCCAGCTATCTTGTAACACTTGGCATTTGCGTGACTCTTAACAGTTCTCAAGGTAGTTCCTCAACCTGCAACCCCAGGGCACGTGTTCTCACTCCCATTTTACAGATGAGCAATCTAAAGCTTAAAGAGGCTGAGGGAGTCTGCAAAGTCAACGGCCAAGTGGGCCAGAGCCCACCCCTGGACCAAGCTGTGCCCCGTCTCCCTTGCATTTCCGCAAGGTTGTGGAACGGTGAAGAAAAAATAAATATCGCTGAAGGCTGAGGCTCCATTTCTGGTCTTTAAGGCAACTCACTCTCCTGGAGAGCTGGTGTAGATAATAAACACCACTATTCAATATTTATGAAATCCACTTCTTCTGCAAATATATCAGCAGACATGTTCAGTGGAGGGAACAAATTCTATCAGGAGCTCGTCACACAGCAATCTGTTCCAGTGGCCAAATACAAGCGTCTCCCTGAATGATAAACACTCCCACGAGGCTGTGGCAGGGTCTGCCTGAGAGGGGCGGGGGAGTGGCCCACCACACGTCACCCAAGCCAGGTGCCCTGCGGCCACCACACTTACCACCAAAACCTCTGGCTTTGTAGTCTTCATCTCTGCAGGGAATAGAACAGATAGAAGTGAAGCTCCTTGGACACTAAATTGACCTTGAAATTCTACCTCCACAATGGGATTTCTCTTAAACAGGCTTTGAACTTAGTATTGCAGACACGACGAGGAATTCTATGCAGAAATGTTTATTGACAGTTTTCTACCTTCCAGAAAAATACACACCCCCACACATGCATACACATAATAATAATACACAGAATTGGTTTTTGAATGTTACTCTTTTCCCAATTTATTGCTATTACTGGACCTGGGTAATTAGCTTTTTACTGAAAGATAAGAAAGAAAGATCCAGTTGATACATTTGTTCGTAATGTGAGGATTCTTTGAATCCATTCCCTATGCCCTTTTAAAAAGTAACTAGGGTGGGTGACAGTCTGTGAAGACCTCATTAAAATCATTTCATTTGATATGATCAATAACCATTACAATCAAATTTCTAACCCTGCTTAGTGCCTTGTGCATATCAGCTACGCACGCCTATGGATTGAGTGATTAAAGCAATCTTTTTTGGGGCGCCTGGGTGGCTCAGTCCGTTAAGCAACTGCCTTCAGCTCAGGTCATGATCCTGGAGTCCCAGGATCGGGTCCCACATCAGGCTCCCTGCTCAGTGGGGAGTCTGCTTCGCCTCTGACCCTACCCCCTCTCTACCCTCTCTCTCTCTCTCACTCTCTGTCTCTCAAAGAAGTAAATACAATCTTTAAAAAAAAAAAAAAGATGGCTTTTTTTAAACACGCTTTCCAATCCTCTGTCCCATCTCTCCCCATAGCCTGGATTCCCCTCGAAACAGCAACTTTCCAGGCTTGGGTCTGTCATCCCCTTAGGCTTGGCGTCCTTATTCAGATGGGAATTTGCTCAACTTACCAGCGCCTCAACTCTCCCCGCCCATCTGACTGCACCCCGCCCCCCTTTCCGACTTGCCTGACCCAAATAACTTGTGAAAATGATCAAATCCGTTACGATCTGAGAATAAAGTGTCATTTGTTCTTGCAAAAGAGGCATGTGTCCAATACAGAGCATTCGCTGTCCTCGGGAGCGGTCCCACCCCTCCACGTGCAGCAGCAAGTAGATACTGTCTGTGTTTCACTCCTGGAGAATTCATCACTCCTGGCCCGCTTGGCGGGGAACAGACCTCTAGGTGCCTCAGTTCAGCTGGCTGGAGGCAAGTCTGGGTAGGGAACAGGCAGGACTCAGAGGATAGATCTGAGCGCCTAATGGCACCATGCACCTTGCCCTTTCCTTTCTCCGGCTACATCTGACCTCTCATTTCAGCCACAGAAAACGCGACTGAAAACACACCGAGGCAGAACTGCACCCCGATTCTCTGCTGAGTTGGAACCCTTTTATTTAGTACAAGAGAGCAAGCAAAACCCAACAACAGTGACAGCCACAAACAAAGGGAATAGGCATGGTACATACCTCCTTTCTTCACCCTGTGGGGAAAAACAAGAGATGGGCAAGAATTAACCTGAAAGTATTCTGCTCTGGTTCACATATAATAACTTGGAGCCTTGGGGCAACTGTGTTCCTTGGGATTCAGGGATTGATTAAAAGAGGGGCCAGGCTTGGGGACTAAAATGAAGGCTGGGCTCCCACCCCTGCTCCAAACACAGCAGTTCCAGCACTGTTGGTGTGGGACTTAAGAGGTTCTAGGAGTTTGGTAAGTTTGAAAACTATTGCCTTATAGAACTTGAGGGAAGGTATTTTCTCTGACAGCACAGGTGAGGGCATGACCAGCGGGTCTGGCAATTCTTCCCGCCTCCTTTTTCTCCCCAGTAGCCACCTTGAGCAGAAGACTTGGCTCACAGCAGGAAGCTTCAGGGGCTGGCAGCCAAACCCCGTTTTCCTATAACAGGAAGACCTGGTCTTGGATGCTAAGCCCCTTCCCAGGATAACCTTGGGTTCCATAATTCTGTGACTCTAATTTTCTTCTTTGCTGTTGGACAAACGTTGGCTGCCATATAGTACACCTAATTTCCAGGGAGGCCAGGCCTGAGCCTGTTATTACTAGCTAGTTTTTCTTTTTTAAGTCAACCATGTTGGAAACGATTAATATTTTGGATGTAAGTTAAGGCAACCAAGTTCAAGGTACATGGAACCATAAACTGCTTGAGAGTTGCAGTGTCTAGTGGATGACTACCTTTAAGAACTTCTGTCCAAACCCCATTACGGAGCACCACCATCCTTACAAGCTTAAGCGTCACTCTTTTGGAACCAATTTTTTCTTCCAAATCAATTTGTGAGTAGAGCCCAAACAAAAATGCCTCTTTTAATTTCAGCAGATGCTCACGGATTTCTTACCTTGAAGTCAAGGTTGCCAATAGCAACAAACTTCCCCAATAAATATGGCAAAATGCAATGCACATCTTTATGCTAATGCCTTATACTTTTGTAGAGTCTTTTCATCCACAGATTTTAAGTTATTTGACAGTACTAGTTTATCTTCAAAACACCTTTAAAAGGTATAGGAAGTCTCATCACTCCCTCGTGGTGCCAAAACTCAGGTTCCAACATCCCGAGATACTTGAGCATAGAGCTAAACTTGGAACCTAGAATCCTGAGCTCACGGGGACTCAGCCACAAAAAAAATAATGCAACAAGACTCAACAAACACTATATTAAGCATTTACTCCACATCAGGAACACTGCTAAGTGCTTCCTTTGCCTTTGTCATTTGACTGTTTACTTTTCAAATAAGGAATTGAGATTCACAAAGGTCACCATTTGTCTGAGGCCATATGGAAAATGGTGAGCCCAGAGCCAAAACAGGCCTTGTCTCTCTCCAAAGCCGCAGGATCAGAACCATCATGCTGTCATGGGGGAAGCTTCTGAGACTCGAGAAACTGGGTCTAGAGAAGCTTGGAACAATGAAGCGCTCTCTCCATTTCACTCCAGTGTCTCACTTCCACGGAGTACATGGTAAGAGCACGTGAGTGAGCAGGAGGGAACAGGAGGGAGGGGAAACAGGCCTCTGCTTCCAGCCCTGGGGAGTGAAAGATTGGGGTCACATGCAAAAGAACAATGATGATTTAGTCACACAAAAGCCCAGTGAGTCACTGGAGCCAAAAGCTTAATTCCCTTAGCAGTTTTCTGTGCTTTCTCTAATTCCCTCCCGTCCTTTAAATATTCTACAAATACCAGCACAGTATATCCTATCCCTACTCACAACCAGGCTTTTTTTCTTCTGAGGCTTTTATCCAGGGCAAGTTCACCGGAGGAGGAAGCCCCATTTCACTGAGGATGTTTCAAAGACAGGGCAGGTGCCAGGAAAACCAGGCCCAGTAGGTGAGGCAGAGGGTACCAGGACCCTAGGGGAGCCAGCCCCCCACTGACTTCTCCCTCCCTCACTCCAGGCTCCCTCTCTGCCCTGGAGAGAAACCCTAATTCCTTCCATTCCCTCTCCTGACATCACTGGTAACAGTGGCCTAAAGGAAGCGGTGGAAAGGGCCCAGCCCACCCACAACTTACGGAAGTTTCTTGGGCTCCCCAGTCTTGTGGGGACAGTGTCTGTGGATGGCTTTGGCCAACAGGACGAACAGGGGTCCCAGGAGGCCCAGGAGCAATATGGAGCCCAAAGTGATGACAGAAGGCACATACCACGCTGATGGAGAATAAACGTTTTTTCTCAGGACCTGGTAGATGACCCTGGGCTTGAATGACAGAGAGGGCAGCGGGTGAGCCATTTTTGACATCAGTGCTCTCTCGTGTCAAGGGTTGGTTCTGCTCTTTGGTCTTGCTCTGTACACGGGGGCATCCGTGTGCTCCCGGTTCTTGCTGCTTTAACCCATCAGCTTATTTATAGTCTTTCCAAGCACCCAGGAGATCAAAACCCGGAAAATGTAGGGAACCGAAAAGCAACTCCAGGCCTATTTTTACTCCTTCTTCCCCTTCCCAAACACTAAAAATCCCATTGGCTTTTTTCCCTGCCAAATCATGGCATAACCCTGGGACGAATATAGCCATTGCCTCGCACTGGGAAGGCATCGCCACGAAAGCTATTCTTTTAACACTTTGTAGGCTTTGCAGTGTCCCCTCGCAGCAAGCTGCACAGCCAGCTCACGCAGGGCTGACGCACAGCGGAACCTCAAGCTTGGCATTTGCTTCCTGGAGAAGAAGACTGTACCAAACAAGGTACGGAGATTTGGGGGCTGGAGATGTCACCGTCAGGTCATGTAAGCCCCAGTAAGGTGGCAGCTCCTTACTCAAGGGAGCCTACTGGCTCCTACCACGAGTGAAAGCCCTTAAGATCATCTTATGCCTCCGTTCATTGGGGTAATATTGACTCCAGCACACGGGAGATGAACACGGACCAGCTCATGGTAGGACTCGGACAAACGGAATTTGACCACCGGTCACAGGTAGCTAAGGTTCTGATGACTTCTCCTCTAGCACACTGCACGTGTGGGGCTGCCTACTAAGGGCACAACTTTCCCTAGGCGCAGGAGGAAAGGGGGCAAAAGAGTTAGAGTCCCTCCCAGGAGCAGGAGGAGATAATCCTATTGTCAGACTCCGAGACTCTCTCCCTTCCTTCATCACACTGGTTTTATGGGCACCGGCTTGTTTGCTTCCTACTATCTACTACAATCTGTAGTTAATGAATGAATTTGGATACCTGTTTGTCATCTGTCTCCCTCTCTAGATCAGCAGCTCTCAAACTTTAGAGCACATCAGAATCCCCTTGGAGGCTTATTAAAAACACAGATTACTGGGTCCCACTCCCAGAGCTTCTGATCCAGTAGTTCTGGGGATGTGGCTGAGGACTCCAGGTTCCAGTATCTTTCCCTAGAGGTCATGGTGATGATCACAACTTCAATATTCTGGGGTGGGTCTAAGAATTTGCATTTCTAACAGGTGTCCAGGTGGTGCTGTTGCTGATGGTCTGGGGATCACTGACTTACTGGAAGCTCCATGACAGCAGAGATCATTTTTGGCTTGTTCACCAAAGAGCTTGGCATATTATAGGTATTCAGTCGATATTTGTAGGTTGAACCAATGAATTTTTTTGGAGTGGGGGTGGGGAGTAGGGTACAGACTGGTGCATAGGGACTCTTCAAAAGAAGTGGAGAAGAGCATAAAAGCAGCTACCTGCCTTCATGGACATTGACTTGCAACGGCTCTTACGAGCAAGCACAGAAGGGGTTGTGAAGGAAGCTGCTGGCCACACGCCCATGAAAATTGGCTCCTGCGCCAGAAGCACCACGCGTGGTCAATACCTGATCTATCACAAGTCAGTGCAGAAATGCACATTCTTCTTTAGCAACATAGGGAAAGCTAATGGTTCTACAAATCCAAGGTCTCATTCAGATCTTTGTCTACCGCCCAGTGACTACTCCAGTCCAGCCCATAGTTGGCATTCCTGGCAACATCCTAACACCTCAACTCTTTTCAGCCCATCCTAGATTTCTCCTGGGTCAAGGGGGTCCATCGATGTACATCACGAGGGGTGTATCTGGGTAGTCCAGGTCCCAAAGCCCTTACCCTGGTGGTCGTGGTGACAACTGTGGTGGGGTGAGGAATGACGCTAATACTCAGCGTTACCGTCCCTGTTTCAACGTGAGCCTGAGCTTTCTTCCTGCCAGACAGCAAGTTGTCATCAGTTATGTAGACAAGTAGTTTGTAGTCCCAGATCTTGTCAAGCCCACTGGCATAGTCGAAGCCTGTCGCAAGGAGCAGACTTGTAACGTTGGACCCAGCGTTGGGAGAGAAGGTGAAATGACTGTTGATGTTGCCTAAATGCGGTGTGATATAAGGATTTGGGGAGAAGAAAGAAAAGAGAGTGAGAAAGGGGTTTAGAAGAAAGCTTCATTCCATCACTTCCTCAAACATCCACGCCTCAGGTGTCGACCGTGTTTCTGACACACCAGCACCAGGTCGGTGATAGGCTATGGGCCGAATTCACTCCATCGCCTTGGGTGGAACCTGGCTGGCCACCCTGGTGGCCACACCGGTGGTGCCTCCTGGCCTGGCCTGGGTCGCAGTCCCAGGTCCTCCCGCATCCACCCCATACCCACCTCCCCCACAGCTGGGTTGGGGCTCAAGGCTCACAGCTTCGAGTGCCCGGGGCAGAAAGGTTGCCACCCAAGCCGTCCTTGCTCAGTCCTCTGGTGGCTCCAGACTCATTACCAACGGCAAACCAGTAAATGGAGCAGGAGACGATGCAGTTTGTACTCCCTTAGCAGCGAAGAGCTCCATAAAGGCCTGAGGGTTCTCTGTATGGATTCTTTCCATCTTTGGCAACTGCCGTGTGGAGGCAGTCCCTGCCCCTGGGTTTTGCGACACCGCCTACTCGAGGCTCCCTACCGTTAGAGTTCCCGCTCCGCCAGGGCTCAGCGGGCAGCCAAGATGGATTTTTACTCTTTCACATGGAATTGCTCTGCTTGTTTGGGTTTCAATCTCTGGCCCCAGCACTTCATTAGATGAGCTATTCTGGTCTCATTTCCATTGAGAGTGCTCTTTTTTCCCCCCAACAGTGGTATAGAGAGAGAAAGTGAATGGAGTAGAAGAGAATTCCTGAGGACACATTTCAAAATGCATTTAATCTATTTAATCTATTATTATCCAGAGAGAAGACTGGGATTCCCCGCCCCCACTATAAGCTGGCAGGAAAAGAGGTGGTTGAGGAGGGGGACCAAAAAAAATTTAAACTACACTAATATGGTTGATGCACCATGATGGGTGGGAATTGTGGAGGGCGGGGGGTGCCATCCGTGGGGTTCACTGTTCCTTGGGCCTTTGGCAACCACGGATGGGAGTCTGGGAAGACTTAAGTGAGATGGGGAAGCCAAAGAACTCGGAGGCACAGGGCCGTTACGTTCCTCAACCTTGCTTCCCTCATTCAAAATACCCCCTGACACACACACACACACACACACACACACACACTGTGCTCCAGTCAGTGTATGAGCACAGACCCCCTTCTCCCTAAACAGCTGCTAAGGCCTCTAACACCAAGAGCCCTTGGAAACCGTGTACCTGGGCCCATGGAGTAACGAAATGACCTGGGGCTGGAATCAAGGTCGGTACACGTCAGCTTGAAATTTTGAATGTTTGTGCCAACTTTCAGATCCATGGGGATGGCCAAGAAATAAGAGTTTGGGGTACAAATTGGCTTTTCATCATTTTCTTCAAGGATGTTCACGGTTACCTAGAACAGCAAGAAGGTGGTCATGGTTAACAGCTAAAGCTCACGGAGAACTTACTGTGTGCCAGGCACTGGGCTGGGTGCTTTTGGTGGTCCAGCTCATGGAACCTCCCCTGAGCTAGATGATATGATTATTCCCATTCTCCGGATGAGGAAACTGAGGCTTAGGGAGATTAAGTAGCGGACCTCAGGCCGTTCCATTTGGTGAGCGGCACAGTCCAGGCAATTTGAACTCAGGTCTGTCCTACTCCAAGTCCTGGGCTATTAGCCTCTGTTCTGTGTGTGTGTGTGTGTGTGCTTATGTGCATAATATATACATACACATTCACATACCACCCCCCACATGCATCTAGAAGCATGGGCTCATCCCCACATGATGCGGAGTTGTTTTTCCAGTAATGAAGACGAATTTACGGTGACCCCCCTATAGTTCCTTGCCCATCGCCCTTGCAGATTGGAAGTTCTGTCTTTAACTCTGGAATATAGAACAATGGTTCTCAGCTCTGGCTCCACTTTGTAGGCCCACTCCAGACCAGATGAACTGGACTCTCAGGAGGGTGGGGCCCAGGCACTTCTGTAAGAGTTCTCCAGCTGATTCTAATATGCAGCCAGGGTTGAGAACAACCAGGATAGAAGGAGTTGACCTGGCTAAGCTGGGATCTCATCTGTGACCTGGGCTATGGGCACTTTACGAAGCCGGTGGCCCTAAGCTGCCAGGAGCAGAAGCTAGCCTCTTCTGTTTCATCGTCGTCTTTTATGCTTGGTGAATTGAAGTACGGACTGGGACGCCTGCCAGCATGGAATCATAGAATGTCAGCCCTGGAAGGGACTTACGTGATCATCACCCTTTTTAAAGGCTTATGAATTTTGAGTCGTGTTCATTCTACCTTTGAAATTTGGGGATTTCAGCTATTTCTGAGCCCGGGAATAAATTGAAATGTTCACTCCAGTTAGCTCCCAGAGTGGAGTCCATTCATTTTTCTCAAAAACCCAGCCTAACAAACACGACAATTATCTTCAGCTTAGCACGTCTTTTGCTCAGCTAGCAATGTCGAGCCTCGCACATCATTAGAAACATGTCCTATTAATTCAAAGCCAGTCATCAGAGGAACTGGACTGTTCAGGCAATGGGTTATCAGGTGACTCTCCATTTAAGAGAGAGAGAAATTGGGACACAAAGATAAGCATTGCTCAGACCCCCTTGGAAAATTGGGATTAAAGTTGAGACATGAACTCCATCTCCGGATTGAACCAGTCATTCTCTGTATCACACGGGGCCGCCTGCCACTGGCCGACAGTTCATTTTGCCTTATGCTCCTTCACTTTATTAATGGGAAAGACCAAGAAATAGTTCCGTCTTCGCGGCCATCATATTATCTCCAGATAATCATAACCATGGACAGCACAACCCTATTAAACCCTCGTTACTCAAAGTGTGGCCTCAGACCAGCTGCATCAGCACCACTTGGAAGTGTGTTAGAAATGCAGATTCCGAGACCCACTCAGACCTGCCGACTCAGCATCTACATTTAACCAGATGCGCAACACCACAGTTGAGAAGCAGCATAACCCTGGGTCAAGCCACATCATGTGAAGGTCTACCCTATCTGATGTGATTCGGGAGGGGTAGAAACATGGCAAAACTACGCATAGCGACAAAACCACACCGCACTTGTGGAAGCATGCATCTCACCGCTAGCCCACTGCCAAAGTGAAGGGAGATCTAAAGGGTAACAGGGGGAAGCCGGCTGCGCAGAGTGGTCATCAGTCTTGGCACACCTCCCAGCCACCCACAAACTTGGGCCTACAGATGCCAATCTTTATTTCCTAGGCTCTGCTAGCTGTGTCCAAGTGTGCCGTCCTGGACACCACTAGTCATTCCCCTTACATCTGCGGGATGGGCCCTGTTAAGATTCCTTATTGCTACAGCCACATCTGGAAGGTGCCAGAAAGATCCTAAGTCAACCGGTCGGGCTGTTGTGAACACACCCACGGCCCCACTCACAGTGACTGAGCTGCTGTCCTCGCCATTGGTGGCCTGGATTCTGAGAATATAGATGGGGGTTGTTTCGTAGTCTGCTCTCGTCACCAGCTGGAGTTCTCCCGTCTGGGGATTGATCCAAAATATGTTTGGGTACTGGAGGCTGGCTCCTCCCGTGGAGATGGAGTACACGATGCTGCTCTGGGGGGAGTCTTTATCGGTGGCGTGCACTACTCCCACCCGGGTTCGAGCTGAAAGAATAAAGTACCTGAGATGAGTCCTGCTTTGGGGGCGGGGCGGAAGGGGAGACTCCAGGAGCACACATTCCCATCACCATGGGCAGAAGGACTTTTGGAGGTTCTTTGCTGCTCATACACTGTATGTTTTATGTCTTCAAGTCTATTAAAATCAAATTGTGCTAATGAGCATGCACCAGGTAACTGGCCCTATGATCCAAGCCATAGAGTAAGGCATTAAAGACAATTCATGCCTTTATATAGACTCCAAGCACGCCAATTATGTGCTCATACTACGTGATCATAAGCAACACTGCAAAGAACATCCTCACACATACTTGGTTCGCAGCAGTGTTGTCTGAATGCCTTTTGTCTCTTTCAAATTTTCTGTTATGAGCGTGAATTACTCTTACAAACAAGATGAAAAATAAACAGTTTTTGAAAGGGTTTAGCAACCGATGATCAGAGTATAGAATTTTATTTTTTTAAAGATTTTATTTATTTATTTGAGATAGAGAGAATGAGAGATAGAGAGTACGAGAGGGAAGAGGGTCAGAGGGAGAAGCAGACTCCCCGCTGAACAGGGAGCCCGATGTGGAACTTGATCCCAGGACTCCAGGATCATGACCTGAGCCGAAGGCAGTCGCTTAACCAACTGAGCCACCCAGGCGCCCTAGAATTTTTTTTTTTTAAGATTTTATTTATTTATTTGAGAGATAGAGCTAGAGAGCACAAGGGAGGGGGAGAAAGAGAAGCAGGCTCCCCTCAGAGCAGGTAGCCCAATGTGGGGCTCGATCCCAGGACCCTGGGATCATGACCTGAGCTGAAGGCAGACACTTAACCAACCGAGCCACCCAGGCGTCCCTAGAGTATAGCATTTTAAAGACTGCTCCATTTTGCTTATTTTACAAAGCTTGTTGGTGGGGCTGCTGGCGTTCTGGCTGGCTTGTTCTGTGGCTCTTTCTCATACATTGCACTCCTCAAGGGCAGAAACCTCTTATTTAACTGGATAGCTCCAGCGCCAAGTGCTTGACCCACAGTACGTGATCGATAATCATAATAAGATCTGTGAGGAATAAGAAGCTTGCTTATTCTTAAAATGCCTGCTGCATTTGTGCATCCGTATACCTGGATGAGGTATAAGGAATTAAAAGCATTCTCTTCAGAGCCTTTTTGCCCTTTGTTTAAAACTTAACACCAGGAAATGGAGACCATCCTCAAGACAGAAACTAATATGGAGAGGAGATCATTTTAGAGGGAGTGTTTGGGTTGGTTGGTTGGTTGGTTGGTTGGTTAAATAGAGAAGAAGAGGAAGTATCAAAGTTAAGGATCAAAAGTGGGACTGAATGGGATTATACTAGAGTTAAGGGTCCCACCTTGAAATCAGGGGAGTTGGGGAGAAGCTGAAGCTGAAAGAGGGGAAGAACCCGCAGAAATGGAGATGTGAATAGAGGGCACAAAAGAGTCCTCCAGGGAATCCCGTTATGGGCGAGAAAATGTCTTTATTTTGTTTTTAAATGAAGGAAATCTACAAATGGGGAAGCTCTTCTCTATTTTTAAATTTCCATTGTCTGCACGAGTGGGATAAAAATCACAGTGGAGACCGAGGGAAAACTAAGGCCACAAAAAGGAAAGATGAGCGGAATCAGGCACGCAGACAAGGAAGCAATCAGGGGTTCGGAGAAACGCAGCTTAAACAATAGTTTTCCAAAATCTAGGTTTCACCTGAAGAGCTCCTCAGCAGTGAGGACAATTTAAAAAGAAATAAGAGATGCAATAAACACGAATGAGCTGTGAGTTGCCATGCACAACACCACTCAGGGCCCCTGAGCTGAAGGCGGTTTCTGCTCCGTGGAATGAAGGAGTCCATCAGGAGCCCTGGGATCTGTGTCCTGTCGGCTCCTTACCTGGCCTTAATTCTGACACCTCAAATACATAGGATGGCCTGTCAAAGGCAAGAGGAAACTCATTTTCGGGCTTTGTGAAGATATAAATGTAGATGTTGTCTGAAAGCAGAGATAGAAAAAAAAAATTAAATTGCAACACCTCCCTCTCACACATGTGTTTATTCACCATTTTTAAAGCACCTGCCGTGTCCCAAGCTCTGTGCAAAATGGAGGAAATACAAGGTGAAGAAGACCTAGTGGGTCCTGCCTTCGCGATGCTTACTTAGAGTAGTTACTTGCCTTTGGCTTAACATGTGTACACATCACTGTGGATCCTGGAGGAAGTGCAAGAAGCTGGCTCATAGGGATATTTAGAGTTCAAACAAACGGGCCAGGGTGGCGCAGGGGTGCAGGGGGGTGGGGTGGTTCTGGGCATGTGCGAGGATACCGAGTTAGAGAACTGCATGACTGTCTCAGGGAAACTGCAGTTTGGGAAAAGGGAAGCTTAGAGATGGGCAACCAGAGCTGACGCCAGAGAGTTAGGCAGGGGCCAGAGATGAAAGTCCTTGTGTGCTAAGCCAGAGTTTGAACTTGAACTGACAGCTATGGGGAGACACATGGAGGGCTTTCAGCAAAGAAGTAATATAATGCTATTTGCATTTCCTGAAAATCACTGTCAGAATGTGGATGGTGCACTGGAAAGGGGCAAGACAAAAGCCAGACAGAAGGATCCTTAAAAGACTTAGTGTTGTAATTGAGCCAGGAAAGGGGAGGTTCTGCGTTGAGCACTACTAGAGGAGGGGGGCGGGGCGGGGTGGGCAGCAGATCCTTGAGATTTTAGGTGACACAAAAGAAAGAACTCAGAGACAGATCAAAAGTGTCTGGCAAAGGACAGGAGGAGGCTGGGCTGATTCCCAAGTGTTCGGGTTTTTGAAGTCTCCTTTTGAACACAAATGCCTAGCCCAATACCAAGTGCTGCCTAGCACAGTTTAGCTGTTGCTACTCAAAGAAGATGCTTCATGAAATAAATCAAAATGATACTTGCTTTTATAGTAAGGAAGGGCAACATCCTGCACCTGGATTATCACGGTGTACTTATTGCCGGCTGCTAGATTACTTGAATTTTCATAATCCAAGTCACCAATCAACTAGATTAAAACAGAGATATCATATTACACAGAATAAACAATCCTTTTAATTAAACTGACAGAGACATTTTCATGTACTGTCAGTGGATATATAAATTGCAAAACCTCTGCAAAGCATTTTGCTGTAAGAGGAGCTTTAACAGGCTACATCCATACCTTTGCTCACTGCTAGAGAATTTATTCAAAAGACTTTAGCAGGAGAATCTATGTTAAAGACGTTCATCAAGCACTAATGCCCAACAGCATAAGCTCAAGACTTCAGGTTACTTGAAGAGAAGCACAATATAGAATCCTATAGGCAGGGATATTTCCATCATTTAAAAGATTTATGCATATATGTATGGCATATTCATAAAAATGTATGCATAGGGAAGAAGACAAGAGGATAACACATCACAATGTTAATAGTGGTTCTCACTATTGAGAATGCTGTTCTGTGTTTTCTACATTCTACAGTGAAGTTGTATTAATTTCCTAAACAGAAAAAATAGAAATTATTTTTTAGCTGACATGTGTGCATAAAATTGGTAAGACTTTCTTGGGGGTGGAAGAAAGGCTTGGGATGGGAGGTGGGGAGAGAATGCCTAGTGGGCTGCTGGTTCTCCCTGAGGCTCTCTATCCCTGATGCAAAGACCTCCCCCCACTCCCCAATCCCATACCCCCCACTCCCAGGCCCCCCACTCCTAGGCCCCCCACTCTGAGACTCCTCGCTCCCAGACCCCCCACTCCTGACCCCTCTGCCCTTTCACTTCCCTCTCCTCCTTCCCCATCACCCTCCATCGGGAACCCTGTAGGTAAAGGTCTCCACAGCTCATTGGGACCTGCCTTTCATGTCTTCCAATTCTGCTTGTTTGCCCCTGTGGAGCTGCTGTGGAGGGGCCCGGCTACACACCGGCAACCCCTCATTCTCCGCTGGGTCTCTAGTGGTTCCACAGCCGGGGAGCTGGACTACCTTTCTCTTACTTAACACTTCTCTGGGCCAGAGATGAGCCCCCAGGTAAACCAAAGGGCTTGAGCCCGGAGGGCACTAACGTGACCTTGAGGGGTACACGAAACAGGCACGCCAACTGCAAGCTTTGCAGCAAAGAATCCAGTCCTTAGCACCCAGGCACAACTATGCATAACAAATGATTCCCGGAACTTGGGTAAAATAAAGGGTGCATGGGGAAAACAGAGTCACTGTTACGTTTGTCAGTTACAGTCGCTTTGAGAGGGAGTTACCTTGGAAATTTCCCTCTACGGGGCAGCAAAAGCTCTATGCATGTTACACCAGCTTCCCCGATGCCCTTTCAGTGATGCAATGACCATTAACTGACCACGATTTTCCCAGAGCCAGCTGGATCCTGTGAAAATCTGCCGCTGCTCCCCACTCCAGATGGCGTGGTGAAGTTGAATTGGTTGTTTGGTGCTTTGCTGTCATCATCAAAGCAGAACTTGTTCAGGTCCAGAAGCAACGTCCCCTTGGCCGCTCTTTCAGGCACCATAATGCTGCGGAAAAGACACGATTCAATATTTTCCCCGACAAACGGTGATTGAGTGCTCCTCCTGACATAGGCCCTAGGCTAGACACCTCTGCTTTAATTTCAGTTCAAAGCTAGTCCGCGGTGACTGCAGTCACGGCCTAATGGGTTCCCTGCTCTACCCTTGCCTCCTTTCAGACTCTTCTTAACACAGCAACCAGAGGGATCCTGTTAAAACGTTGTCAGGTCACGCCACTCTTCTGCTCCTAAATCCCAAATGGCTTCTATTTCACTCAAAGTCCTCACTTCGATCGAGGGGGCTCTTCATGATGCGTGCCCTGCCTCGCCTTACCGGTCTGTACTCATCTCCTGCCGCAGCGCTCCCCGTTGGCTCCCGCCACCACGCTTCCCGGTGCTCCTAGAACTCCGCGTCCTCCGCCCCATGCTCCTGGAAGTCTGACCTCAGGCCGTCCCCAGCTGTGCAGTGCTCTTCCCACAAATGCCCACCCGGCTTGCTCATTCACTTTCTTGAGTCTCCAATCAGTGTCGCCTTCTCGGGAGGCCACCCTGGCGCCCTTCTCTCAACGTTAGCCACTCCCGCCCCTTGTTCCCTCTCCAGCTGCCCCCCTTTATTTTAAATTCTTAGCACTTACCCTTTTCCCATCTGCTACACAGTTACTTATTTATCCTGTTTATCTCCGGTCTCCCCCCCTGCAATGGAAGCTCCACGAGGACAGAAATCTTTGCTCTGTTCTTGGCACACGCGCTAACATCGGTTGAATGAGGGAATGGTGACTTAGGAGGCTAACACAGCCGTGAAGAAGAATATAAGAGAAATCCGGAATCCTGCCCTGCCTGCCCGGGGCTTATGACCTGGTTAGGGAAAATCGCTGGGTGCCTGCCCTCCTCACCTCCCACGCTTTGAAACTCGGGATTTCCGCCACTTGTGTTCTAATGGACTTTGACGTCATAAAAGGGCCCCCTAACATGTTAGTGCCATTCACCCAAGAGAGCTTTATCAAGGGTTGAATTCAGGCGTCCCAATCTCGGCTGACTCCAGTAGCACAAATGAGGAAAGCTGCCCGCACACTCAGAGCCATCTGGTCCAGCCGAGCTCGGTGTGGGAGGCCCCGAGGAAGCGTGATTAACACCTTTAGGCTTCAGTTCATTCAGGGACTTTACTGTGTCTCCAGGTTTCAGGTTTTCCATCTATAATCTAGACATAAATCATGTCAGTTAGCTTTTGCTTCATAATAAACCAGCCCAAAATGTAGTGGCTTAAAAGGAGCCTATTATTTCTTGCAATACTCAGGACTATCCATGAGTTCTTTGGGCTCGTGTCTGGCTTGGCCCACCTCTGTTGTCTGGCCGTCTGGCGGGGACTGGCTGGTCTAGGATGGCCTTGGTCACATGTCTTGTGGCAGGAGGGCAGTAGGTGTCTGCTTCGTGTCGTCGATAACCCTCCATGAGACGGGTCCAGGCTCTTCGCATGAACATCTCAGGTTCCCAAAAGTAGCAAAAGAGGGCAAGTCCCAATGCACACATACCGTTCGAGCCTCGGCTGCGTCCCATTTGTGAATGTTCCAGTGGCTAAAGCAACCGACACAGTCAGGTCCAGATCCAAGGAGTAGAAAGAGGAACCCATCTCTTGATGGGAGGAATGGCAGAATCCCATTGTAAAGGGGTGTGGGTGCAGACAGAGAGGAATCTGTGGCTGGTGTGTGGTTTGGTTTGGTTTTTGCTGTCTACCTCAATCATTTCTCTCTTAGAAAAATACATCGTGGCTGCCATGAGAACATGTCTGGAAGACGCTCAACCAAGGACCATACCTGAACACAGACCCTATGCTGCTGTGTTCTGAAATCCATTGTTTCATATGCAGTGAGGCCATGTGCCTGCGACCGCGCGTGGCAGAGATACTAAGGGAGGCTCATTCCCGACCGATGACCGCGGACTCTGGCGCTAGGACTCCTCGATGCCCTAGCCAAACCTCCCAGAGCCTACACAGCAGGCTAAAACATTTCTGTGCATCCTCCTTCCCTCTTCCCTTTGCTGAGGTCTGACGACTCTCCCAGCCTTGTCCAGCTCACCCCATTTTCTCCCCCAGCAGTGTCCCCTAATAAAAGCCTCACACATTTAATCCTGTCTTGGTGTCCTGGCAGCTAACGTGGGCTCTGGGCTCAGCGAAGGCAGAGCAATGCCTGACAGCACGGAGGGTCTTGGGCTGCTGAGAATAACTGGGCTTGCTTCCTGGAAAGCGTTTTCTCTGACAGGTGCCCTTTGGCAGAGACAGCCTCCGTTTCAGCAGGACTGGGGTCCAAACATTTCCATTCCTGTCTTGACTATACAATGTCATGGTTTCATTTATAAGTACTTAGAATAGATATCACTTATTAAACACCAACGACATGCTCTATCAGAACAAGTACTTTAAAAGCACTACCTCTGATTCCCTCATCTTCAAGGGCTCTAGATTCTTGTCCCCATTTCACAGGTGAAGAAAGAGTGGTTCAGAGTGGTTTCGAGACCTGTCCCAGAAAGCTGGCGCAGGCAGGCAGGCTTCTCTATTGCCTATGTTAGGAAATTTGACTGTAAGTTCCAACAATGCATCTCCAGGCCCACAGACATTTTGGGGACCCAGACGTTGACTCTGACTCTGCGGAAGCCAGAGTGTTGCATCATCCAAAGAATCCCGCGTCCTGCAGCCAGACGTTGCATGCTCTCCGCCTCTCCGGGTTGCCTAGAGTGCTCTTTTCATTCTTCCCTCCCTGACACTTGGTATATTTCCCCCAAACGCATGACTTGGAAAACCACTCCCCCTCATTCATCAAGGCCTGCCTCAAAGGCCGGCTGCCCTTGCTCCCAACCATCTGACCACGTTCCCTCCCGTGCAAAGGTGACTGGCCCAGCCGCAGTCTGAGCCGACTGACCTTCTCCGCCTCTGGCTCACAAACAGCTTGCCAAGCGCTTTCAGCCAAGCGCGGGACAATTTACAACCAGAGTGGGGGCTGTCACGGTGCCTTTGATGCCTCCCTCAGGCCCCGGGCTCATTCATCACCAGCCTGGGAAAGCTGCAGGGGCCTCCGTGCTAAGGGCTGCTTCCATCTCCAGGCTGGCCTGAGAGCCTGCAGGACCCTGCGACCCACGGGGGCAGCAGGGGGCCGGGCACGCAGCCACCTGCCTCCAACCCACTGGGTGCTGGCGCCCTCTCCCTCTCTTCCACCTGCTCTCCCAAACTCCCCAGCAGGGACCATGCCAAAAGCCCTGAAGAAGGAATAAATATTCAGGGACGCATGTTGTCAGAGCTGGGGGCACCACCAGTCCTGTTCGGTTTGGTTTGGACCCACCTGTGTGCTTCGGCATGGTGGGAATGGGGAAGGTGGTAAGGATCGGTGGCAGGCGATACCGGGTCAGGTTTCCCAGCCCCTGGAGTTTGCAAATGAGGCTGGGTTTCTGGAATAAAGATTTCCACCTCCTGAGGCTGCAGAGGAAGGAGCCCTTTTGTTGCCCCTCCTCAGATCCTGGCTTTCACAGGATGCCTGCGTGTTGGAAAAGCCCAGAAATGGGACTTGAACACTGTTTAGAGTTACCTTCAGTAATCAGTACAATTAGTCTAGTTACTGCCTGGCATTGACCTTCAAGGCTAATTTGGAGAGATGAGCAAGAGCGGGACTCTGCATGCGCTTGCCTGGACAGTCTTGGATCATCAAACTGTGGTTTTCCCAGCCAACATGGAATGCGGTCCGCAAGCCTTCATGCCACACATCAGGGGAGCCGGGACCACAGGCGAAGTGCACCGGGCAGGGAGGAAATGGACAAGGAAGCTTGGAGACAGCACAGTCCTCGCCAGTCATTGATTCCCAGAGTTCTTACTCCTCAACCCACACCCTCCACCTCTCAGGGTAGGGGAACAAAGAAGAGCAGGAGGGCCTAGAAGGGCAGGGCATGAGGACAGGAAATCCCCCATGCACTAGAGCCACCCAAGAACGCTAGGTTTAGATTTTCAAAGAAAGTAGAAGTGGGACTCTGCATGGCATCTCGACTCCATCCCCAGGGCCCAGGCTCAGTTAACAGAGGTGGGTTCCATTTATGAGTGGAATAGTGTAGAAGTCACAGCCCGAACAACACGTGGCAACCAGCCCCACCCATCAAACAGACTCTGAGGTTAGGGGTGGGATAGAAACCTATCACATGGTCAAGGCTCTTACTGACTTGATCAGGGCCTCAGCAGGAAGCAGATGACAAATTAAGATGATTCTAGGAAGGGTTTAGTGGAGGGAGCAGTTCCTGAAGCTAGAGCAGAGATTGCCATGTGCAATCTGGGAACTCCGGGAGGTGGAGGGACTTCTCCAGCTGACAGGCAGGGAGCCAGTGGGTAAATACCCGGACTTGACTCTCCCCTTCATTCTAGAGCTTCCCATTGGCCAACCAGAAGCTGCAGGGCGAGGGAGCCAATTGATATCCATATAGGTCATATCCATACTCCCGGGGCACAGAGCAGGGTGGGGAAGTCTGGAAGCTGGATCTGAAGGGGCAAATAGGGCCCATCCAAACAGGTTTAACTGTTTTGCTATCTGACTCCAGGCCGCACTGATTTTTAGCTTCGTGCCAATTGAGAAAACAGGAAGACATTCATAAGCATAATAAAGGAATTTATAGTTCTATTGCTAACCCTCAACAACCTTTGTCCTTTGTCCTAGGGTCCTTTGCATGACCACACTATGGATTAGATCTGTGTCCAAAGTCACCTAGAGCTTAAAAAGTGACCTTGCAGAACCTGTCAAAGGTGACCTCAGAGGAAGACTCTCTCCATGGGGATATCTGAAAGGGGGACCAGCTCTGGTCTTGAGCCTTGTTCCAGATGCAAGCACGCTGTCAGCCAGCGTCACTGGGCAGGTGCCCTCCCACCCACAAGGAGCCACCTTCACGGTCCCGAGAAACTGGAGACTAGCAAGTAGGAAGCCACAGAGATGAAACCAACCCTGGGAACGACTCGTGTGGCATTTAGACAAAATAGCTAGGAGAGAGAGAGTGCTGTTCGCCACAAGGCGTATTAACACAGAATCACGAGGGACTTTAGGAAACACTGAAGAGGTTGTGACACGAAGAATAGGTCAAAATGTACAAAATAACTTGTTTCTGCATTTTTTCCCCTTTCGGTTGCCTTTGGTTTCCCGGCAATTAAGTTGTGTAAGGTGAATTAGATGTTTTGCTTTGTTTTAAGTAAATACGTGGTGTGATTTATTCCTATTACTGGCGGCGTGTTTCTCGGGGAGCTCCTGGCTACTAATCCTAAGTCTCAAGTCTCTATTATAACGCTAACTAACAGCACCGTCTTGCCACGGGTGGCAATAAAGAAAGAAAAGGCACAGTACACAGAGGGTCTCTGTGGTATGCTTCACGAACAAAGATGAACATGCTATAGGAGAGAGCAAAATAAAAAATATATATATGTATTTTTTGCCAGAGTACGAAAGTGCAGAAGGGAAACAAGGAAAAGGAAAGAAAATGAAGAGAGGAAGGAGAAAAGGACCAAGAAAGGAAAACCAGTCTCCGAAATTGGACACCTCAGGTGGGCTTCTGTTATTGAAGCATGTCCTGGATGCCCATGATTCTTCAGTTCCTGCCAGAGAAGCCAAAAAGTCGAGGCCCACTGAGCACTGAGGAGGGGGGCACCCTGCACGTGAATATACCTGAAGGTGGTCTTGGTGCACATGGCCGGGTTGTCATTAATGTCCTCTACGATGAAGGTTATCTGCACACGATTCTCTTGACCCCCTGAGGGTCTGTCCTTCACCAGAACTTCCAGAGAAATGGAGGGATTTTGTCTTAATTCACCTGCATCTCGGTCTAGCCTGTGGGCCACTTGGATCGTACCGGTCACTGAAAAGGCAAAGGTGAGAACGCGACTCTTTGGAGACTTGGAGGCAATTGGAAAGATCATTCTGGTGTGAGGACTGGCTTGCAGCGAGAATACCCTCTATATAAACACATTTTTAAAAAACTCAGGTAAGTTCCTATATTAGACATTGATTGGGATACCCAGCCTGACCTTTCCAGAACTTTTCACCTCAGACTTCAGGGCTGGGCCCCTGGCAGCAGGCCTTGCCCAGAGTTGACCAGACTGGTAGACAACTGACTCCAGTCAGCTTGACCCACTGCGTTCTCTTACTGGAGAATGTGTCACCGAGAGACACAAGTCAGGTTAACAGTGGAGCTACTGATCGGAGGCCAGAACCCTCGCTGCCAAGGTGGATGGGGCAGCCCTGGTTCCCACCCTGTGACCCACCCCCCGGTTCTTGTGGGATCCCCAGGATCCTGTTGCTAGGTATCCCTTATCTTTTTTTTTCTCTCACGCCTGGTTTGGCTTGCCTTCATTTCTGTTACTTGCGACCAGCGTCTTAATAAAGTTGTTCCAAAAAACCACTGCATTTCTTAAAACTGACATTTGCAATACTAGAGTGAACAGAATTCTAAACCATGGTTGTCCATCCTTACATCATTGGCTGAGTGAGGTCCTCGATGATAGGACGCTAGCAATGCTCAAGATAGAGCACAATTATTGCCTTAGCCTGCCTCTCCTGGGACCAGGCATCCTTTGCCATAAAGCCGATGGGGCAAATAACACATTGTTTTTCTGGGATTGTCCGATGCTGGCCTCCACAAAGTCATCATGTACAGTGAAGTCCTTCGGAAGGATGTGATAGGGGAGAACTTACGAGGTGGTATCGCCTAGGAGTGGTCTCTGGGGTCGCAGTCTTTGGTTTCAATCTGCTTCACACCCACAAGCTGTGAGGCCTTGGACAAGTCATTTACCCTGTCCAAGTCTCTCTCTAAGCCTTAGTTCCCTCATCTATAAAGTGTGGATTACGATAGTTCGCTGGGTTGTTGTGCTGGGTATTTAAAATGGAATACATGCGGATCGCTTAGTATAGCACCTGGTATGTGCTAAGACCCCAATAAAAGATGGGTGTTCTAGGAGGGGAAAACTCTCCTTCTTGCACCGACATACTTAGATGAGAAGGTAACTCCCAGCAGCCCAGCAGATTGCTCTAGATCAAGGTAGTCCAGTATGGTAACCACTAGCCACATGTGGCTATTCAGCACTTGGAATGTGGCTGATCCAAATTGAGATGTGTGGTAAATAAAAAATACACAGCAAACTTCCAAGACTTGGTACAATAAATGATAACATCAAATACGTCATTAATAACTTTAAGATATTGGTTACATGTTCATGACAATATTTTGGACATGTTGGGATAACTAAGATGCCTTACTGAAGTTAATTTCACCTGTTTCTTGTTACTTTTTAAAAATGTGGCAGGGCACCTGGGTGGCTCAGTCGTTAAGTGTCTGCCTTCGGCTCAGGTCATGGTCCCGGGGTCCTGGCATCGAGCCCCGCATCGGGCTCCCTGCTCAGCAGGAAGCCTGCTTCTCCCTCTCCCACTCCCTCTGCTTGTGTTCCCTCTCTCACTGTGTCTCTCTGTCAAATAAATAAATAAAATCTTTAAAAAAAAAAATGTGGCTACTAGACTTAAAATTACATACGTGGCTCCCGCCCTGTTTATTTTTGGACAGTGCTGGTCTGGATCCTCTTTTCAGAAGACTTCCAGGTACCCTCAGGATAGTGAACTCATCCGTTGTTAGAGAGCCACCTGCTTCAAAGGTGAAGGAGTGATATAGCTCGTCCCCTTGGGACCCTGTCCAGTTTCCCCGAGCCCTAAGTCAGCTGCTTTTAATGCATCTATTACCCTGGTAAGTTATGATACTCCAGACAGAAAGGCATGCCCCAGAACAGAAGACAGATAAAAATATTTGTGAAAGAATCCAAATGGCTGAATTAAAAGATGCACGGAAGTGTGTGTGTGTGTGTGTGTGTGTGTGTGTCTGTGCGTGACTTACACTGGTTGATCATGAAATAGCGGTTAGGGGTCGTGATGCCGTAGAGGAGGAAGCCGGTAAAACCTTTGTCATCGGGGTCCTCCGCTGTGATGTTGGCCACAATGGTGCCTGAAGCCAGCTCCTCGGGAATCGTGTACACTCGCGCTGGGCTGGAGCAGAAAAACAGCAGACACAGCTCATTTTCAGGGGCATGGGAGGGTGGAGTCGGCGAGGTGGGTATTTTGGTTAGTGCTAAATATAGCACTGAGCTTCTGAAGTTGCATCCACATGCTCCAAGAAAGCAGTGAGCAGCTGAAAGGAGCGGGGGGGGGGGGGAGCGGCTTTTGGGTTTCCAAAGATCACGTCCTTGATGATGCCACCATGTACAGTCGCCTCGGCTCTGACTCCGCACACGCCTGACACCAATTCGGATCGGCCCTGGCGTTCACATCTCTGATCATCAGGATACTCGGCCTATCCAGCCATCTCTCCCTCTCCAGTTCTTGTGCAAAAGCTCCCTGAGTGATTTTAAAAATCCATCTGGACAGGGGCGCCTGGGTGGCTCAGTCAGTTGGGCAACGGCCTTCGGCTCAGGTCATGGTACTGCGGTCCTGGGATCGAGCCCCACATCGGGCTCCTTGCTCATCGGGAAGCCTGCTTCTCCCTCTCCCTCTGCTCTTGCTTGTGCTCTCTCTCTCTCTCTCTCGCTCACTCTATCTCTCAAATAAATAAATAAAATCTTTAAAAAAAAATCCATCTGGACACAGTTTCCTGGCTCCCATCGCCTGGCTGCCACTAGACGCTATGGTAATAAACTATAAATACTTTTTATTTCTTCATTGTCTTTTTTGTTTTGTTCTGTTTTGCCTGCGGAAGCAGAATTTACGCAGAGAACTTGTACACCTTCCTGAGTTGCATTTATCACAAGGTCAGCTCTCTGAACAGAGAAGTCAAGGTCACTGCCCTCCAAGGATGCCCTCTTACAAGAGAACCCCAAATCGCCAACTTACCCATCCTCCTCAGGCCTCCACTGCTTTGGGAACAGGCTGATAACAAGGCAGAGAGATTCGAAGTTTTAACCACACAACTTGGGTAAAATGAGTAATTTTGCATGCACCAAGGGAGGCTTATTGTTTAGAATAACCCTGCAGGAAATCCTTCTGCTGAGGGAAAATCATTTCAGTGGGGCAAATCATCACCCTCTGATTTACCAGTTTCCTAAGCTTGGATTTTCCCTTCCTTAAGAGGGGAATATTATGGGGCACCTGGGTGGCTCAGTTGTTAAGCGTCTGCCTTCGGCTCAGGTCATGATCCCAGGGTCCTGGGATCGAGTCCCATATCTGGCTCCCTGCTCAGCGGGAAGCCTGCTTCTCCCTCTCCCACTCCCCCTGCTTGTGTTCCTGCTCTCGCTATCTCTCTCTGTCAAATAAATAAATAAAATCTAAAAAAAAAAAAGAGGGGAACATTATATCTCAGGTCTAAATGATCACATTCGTTTTGTGAGCTCAGAATTTTTCTGCAGTTCTGTCTCATCCTCCTGACAGGGTAGATGGGACCAGAGGGAAGAGAAAGGAGAGGGAGAGGGGACATCCAGCTAACATCAGACGGAGACAGGCAGAGACAGGCTACAAGCAGGCCCTCGCTCATCGGGGCTCCTGCCTGGGGCGTGGGTCTGCCCCCCATTCCTGAGGTGACTTCCTGTCAGTGCGCTCTACTGGGGGGACAGTAATCTTGTTCAGGCTGAGAGGCCACCCCAGTGCTCTGTACCTCTCCCCACCCAGGGCCTCACTGAGGCTGCCCATTGATCCACTTACTTGCCTGACCCCTTTCTCGGTGAATCTGGGCTGCAGCCCACGGAGGGGCAGGAATAGACAAAGCAGGGTGAGCCAAGGAGGCAGGGATGGCAGGAACCAAACCCAGAGCCGGAGGAGAGAGGGACGGAGCCCCAGCTCCCGGAGCCAGACTCAGCCCTTGCGTCCATTATGTGAGAGCCTCTGTTTCTAACATATTCTATTTTTTTCTTTGGTTACTTTGAATGGGTTCCGTTAACTTCGAACAAAGAGATTGCTGTATCTTCAGCCCTTAGCCAAGCTACTCCGAGTGTGGTCCCCGCATGTTTCACGGGCCCCCTGGAGGTTCTGGATCTGAATGCAGAATTCAGGCCAGCTCCAGACTGCCGAATTGAGATCCACGTTTCCCCAAGATGACCAAGGGATTTGTGTGCGCTTTAAAGTTTGAGAAGAGCTCCTATAAGGAATCACCAGAGGTGACAACCATAGATACCCAGGCTGCCATAGGACAGAGAACACCTTGGGTGGAGAATCCCCTTCTGCCAAGACAGTGCTTCTCAGCTGGGGGTGATTATGTTGTTTGTCACAAGTGGAGGCAGGGGCTGCTACTGGTCTCTAGGGGATAGAGCCCAGGGATGCAGCTACACCCCTATAGTGCAGGGGTCAGCGCCCACCACAGGGAATGTCCACAGTGCACTGCTTAAGGCACCCCGTTTTGCAGGCTCATCTGCCCCCCCGCCGGGCGCACCAGGAAATCAGGTCTCCGTGAAGGGGACCAGTCAGGCTATTGGTGAGTGCATAGCTCCTCGGGTATACCATTCTCTCCTTGGCTCACCTGATATTGAGCCTGGCAGAAGGCAAAAAATCTTTGGTTTATTTGGTCTGGGGACCCAAGACCCAAGTGTGTATAAAATACCATTTAACACAAAGGTGTGACCCTCAGCCCACAGTTAAGATCTATTCAGCCAGGGGCTCTGCAGCCACCCGACAGGGTCAAGCTCTGATATCACTTACATTCCCGTCCCCCCCTCTGCCTGTTCCCTACTGCCCCCCCCCATAACACCGGATTACCAGGGCCCAGGTGAGGGGGAGTCAAGGGCCAGTGGCCACATTCATGGGGAAGGGCATGAATCTCAGAGGATGGCTTCAGTATTACGGATGAGTATGCAGTAGGTGCATAAAAGTGTGTATGCATTGCGAGGCACCAGGTTGAAAAGGATGGCGGGTAAATACAAAAGAAACAGGCAGTGGGAGAGAGACTGCTCAAGCCTAAGGTAAAGTGCTCTGCCAAAGCAGCAAGCATTGTGCTTGCTACGTAGAGAGTAAATGTAAGTCAAGTACTTTTATAATAAGGTGCTCGACCGTAATAATAGCAGAATCCTCGAGTACACGTCGGGAGTCCACAAGGCATTCAGATGTTTGCCACCACCCAGGGATAAAATGGTGAGCTCTCGACAACAGAAATAGCGCTCGCTTTGGTTGTATTAATTGTAGGACTTTACCACCTAGTAAAGATAGAAGAGTTGTTTCCACATTCTGCAGCTTTGCTTCACCCTCAAACTCAGTATAGCTGAATCAGTCTGAGGGTTTAATTGCATTAATTCTGAATTAAAGAATTTATGGTTCGTCCTGACACTGATTTGGAAGGAAAAGAAGAACCATGGCTCAAGGGAACCATGAAAGCCCTCAAAGTCAGTACCTACTTTGAAACCGTGCAGACTCTTGCAAACTCTGGTGGCTGAGGGACGAGGTCGACCCTAACCTGGGTGAAGTCAGGGCAGTCCCTCTGCCCCAGTCCTTCCAGGGACAGGCTCTTGCAGACCCATCCCTGCCAACATCCATGGGTCGCTGTTTGACATAAAGCCCAATGACTTGTTACGAAATGGTTAAACGGTCACACAGACCATGTCTCTGGCATGGAGCCTAACGGGATCATCTCTCAAACCAAAAAGGAGAACCAGAGTTCCAGACCTATCTCTGGGGGCCCCAGCAACCGGCCAAGGCCATGTTCTCTTTTTGTGGAGGCCAACCGCTTTCTTTTGGAAGACGTCATCCAAACCAGGTGGTCTCCCCCTTGGGAGAACTTATTTCCCCCCTGGCAACCCCGTTAGCCTGCTTCTCCGCCTCACAGACTAGAATGTGGGAGTGATGTGGCAGACGGCATGGCTCACACGCAGCCGTCGCCTGCCCCTGCGGGTTACTCGTGAGTCTGCATGGCTGTGCCCGCGAATACTTGAGTCTGAATCCAGGCTGGGATGTCCCAGCTATTTATAAACTGCCTGTGCCGGGCTCCTGGAGGAACGGGTCAGCAGAAGCGCATTGCGCCATCCTTCCGAGCTTCGCCTGGCCATGGGGCTCGCGGGGAAGCGTGGTGTGGGAGTGCACCTGCTGTTCCTCCCTCCACGTGGACACCCAGCCACTGGGCTGGAGACCGTGCACATCCGGAAGTTTCACAGCGGTGCTGGGTTTTGCCAAACGGCGCCAGCTTAACCTGTGAGTAGAGTGGCCTTCACACCTCCCGATCGCAGAATACTTTTGCAAGCATTCTATGTGGTTCTGGGGCCCCAGAGGCTTTCTGTTGGTGGAGTCTCCTGAGCTGGATTTATTCACAGCCACGAAAGCAGTTACTGTCACTTACCAGGCAGGTGATTTTGCCGGTTGGCTCTGGCTGGCTCCTGAGCCCCCCTCAGCAGCTGGGGCAGGGGGAGTCTGGTAACCAGGAAGCCAGGCTGCTTGCAGGGTCGTTTGCCAGCTCAGAATCTCATCTTCCCCTCCGAAATCCCGATCTATAACAGGCTTGGCTCTGCTCTTTGTGCCTGGGCCGGTGCCAGGCCCATTCTCGCAGGCTACCTCACCTCCGCTGGATGTAGGAGTTCCAGACACAGCCACATCTCTTTTCTGGACCCACCATGGCGGGAAGAAATCTAGAACACCCCGCAGCGGGCAGGCGTCTTAGGCATCATCGAAAGAGACCTCTCCTCCGTCAGAGAGCGCGCCAATCTGAGAGTGGGCTTTAGAGAGCCTTGACTGATGGCGCGTGCCCTAGGGTTTTGCTATTATTCATGCCGAACACTCTATTATAGCAGTACCTCTATTACCACAGCGTATTTACCTTTTATACAGGCCCAGCGGCCAGCCCCGCACCAGGGGCGTCGTGTCCAGCCCTGCTCCCCACTCCCCCCCGTACCCACCATCCCCTGGTGCAGGGAAAAGGGGAGTGAAGCTGGTGGCGGGGGAACATGCGGAGGCTCAGAGAAAGGACGCTGAAGATCTCAGGCCTCTTGGCTCTCCTCCGGGCCAGGGCAAAGGGCATCCCTCTGTGTTGTATTAAATGCGTCTGAGAAAGCCGGGCCACCCAGGAGAGATGGCGGCCCAGCTCGCCCCCAGGCCTACCTGGTAAAGCGAGGGATTTCATCGTTGACATTCACAATGTTCACCTGGAGCGTTGTGGAGGCTTCGAGCCCTTGGCTGTCCCTCACTCCTGCAACCAGATGGAAACTGTCGGGGAGACCCCCCACCCCCGAGTGAGGGACTCAGGCTTTGCTGCCACTACCTCAAAATGGGCTGGGAGGAGGGAGGGAAGGGTCTGCCCCTTTCTGGCCACCCTCCTACAGACGCACACATCGAGTCAGAGCTGCCGTGTTGACCCTTCCTTCCTCGTCTCTGCAAACCCACCCCTCCCCTTCTCTCTCTCCCTATAGTTGTTATTCCTGGCCACCATCTCCCCCCGGGGCTGCTCACGTCCGCCACGTTGCACACCCTGTCTCTGCCCTTCCTCACAGTATCCCTGCGGACGTGTATTACGCCCATGTGAGGAGACCAAGGCTCCCAGGGATTGAGGCACTAGCCTGGTGAGCTGAGCAGCCAAGGTCACCCTGTGTGTTTTTATCCTCAAACCTTGGTCTCTCCTCACCTCTTTCCTCAGCCACCTGCTCGCCTCCCCCCTGCTGCTCTGATGTTAGCAAGCAGCTCTGACAGCTGCCTCTCCCACGCCAGAAAGGCACCTGAGGCAATTCTCCAGATTCCTGGGGACACTCCTCCCACCCCTCCATTCTTATTATGTGGAGATGAAGATTTGGGACGGGGAAGGAGGGCTTCCAGATAATCGCCTTAGTCCCTCTTCCTTCTAGGGGCTCACTGCCCTCTGAACTCAGCAGGAAGGCAGAAAACCACTCGGGGCCTCCCTCGCGGCCCATAGGCTGCACCACGCCTGCTCCTTGACCCTCAGATAGACGGTACTTCAAGCAAGGTCATTGGCAAAGGCTACCTTTTGTGTCCTGCTTCAAAGTCAAATTCTGTTGTAGAGAAGAGGGTCCCATTAGCAGACATTCTGAAGTTCACTGAGGGGGAGATCAGGAAATACTAAAAAACAAGGAAAAAAAAAAAGAATGTAACTGAGAGTACCTATTCATCTTTCCCTGGGAGACTAGTTTGTTCCATTCCCGTTTCATATTCTTGGCCCATGGAACATCCTTGATGCATCGGGATGAAGCCCAATGCACAGTTCTCAGGCTTAATGGTTCTTGAAGCAAGAAAGTTCTGGATCTGCTGGCCTGAGCCTCTGACCTGAGAAGCCACACCCTGAGGAGGTGGTCGCTGGATCCAGCAGGCTTCAGTGACAGAGCGAGGGTGAAGGCCCCCTGTCGAGGCACTCCGCTTCTGAGTCCAGTCCCCTTCTCCTTGTCACCATGTTCTCACTTGTGCTTCTTAGGATGATGTCTGGGGGTTGAGTCTAGGTCTTGGCTTTGACCCACGCTATTTAAACAGGGCTACCATGCATTAGGCAATAGGACGATACTAGCATAAATAAGATCTGGTCTCTACCCTTAAAAGAACTTATGATATAGGAGGGTGCAAAAATGTTCACAAACATCATTCACTGACATGATGGCAGGGAAAGGGAAAGGGACGGGTGCGAGAGAGAAGAAACTTAGCAGGGCCTCAAGTACAAGTTGGAAACTGGTTTGGAGTTACAAGGGCTTAGTTTTAGAATCTGATCTCAGGTTTATGGCCACTGGTGAAGTTTTTCCGTATCTTGGCGGTGTTGAGAATCTAATCCTTTATGGCTCCCAGTGCCCAGCCCGGCTCTCTTAATGAGCCCCTGCGTGGCCCCACTTGCTCTGAAGGGAACACAGGCTTATTTGCACAGCCCCCTGAGGGCATCCCATGGGAGGACCAACCCCGTGCTATCCATGGGTGCGCATCAAGATTGCTTCCTTGTCGCCATGATGATGTCAACGAAGCAGGTGAAGGAGCTGGGTCAGAAGAGCTGAGTCCAAGTTCTGGTCCTCACCACAGGAGCTGGGACAAGCCCCTCCCTTGCCTGTAATATACGGACAATACCACCAACTGCTCCTCCCTGTTACTGTGAGGATTACATCAGAAGGCACGCTGGAAAATGCGAAGCACCACAGCAACGCGCAAGGCTTACGTGTTTGTAGCCATTTGTTCCAAGGGGCTTTAAGGTTTGAAGGTTTCGTTATTCCTACTAGGATGAGAGATGATCTATCCTCAAGGCCTTAGATCTCTGGATCAGATAATCAGTGGAGATTTTGCAATTGGAGTCACAGCCTCTGAAGTCTAGAATCAAAGGAAATGCCAACCAAGGCTTCCAACCCAGCGATTTGCTATGTTGTGTGATCGCAGCTAAGCTCCCCACAGGAGAAGAGAGAATACACAGAAAATAGATTAACGATCTCATTTGGGGCCATTATAAGGTTTTTAACCATTTTCCTAATTGTAATAAAACATACTTTTACACACAAATTAGGAAGGACAGAAAAATATAAAAAAGAAACTTAAGATTAGTCACCTATAAAATCTTATGATTTTCACAAAGAGCCCCCTGTTCTTTTCTATGCACACGTATACCCTCCAAAAAAAAAAAAATTGAGATGATACTCTAGTCAAAATTACATTCTCTTCGTTCTTTGCCTTTGTGCTTGAGCATTTTCCCATATTCTTAACTCTTACCTCACCGCCTGGTTGGTTAATGATGCACAGCTCTCTACTGTAGGGCTTACTTTGCTAGGTCTTTCTTGCTGGTCACTTAAGTGGTTCTTACCCACTTTTAAGTGGGAATATTTGGGCAACAGCAAGGAACACCTCTCTTCCAGCCCCTCCAAATTGTATAAACAGCACGGCAGCACTCAAAAGTACGATGTTTAAGTCCCAAGGCCCCCACCGTCTCCCCAGCTCACAGCCTGGGCAGCAGCTGCCTATATACAGCTGTGCAGAGCCGTTCTGTGCCTTTGAGCTGAGCCTTCCCTACAGAGAATCCTCACATATCCATAGATCAGAGGCTCAAGCTGGATGTGATGGAATGGCAGGGCTTATAGACCCATGGGGGGCATTTACTATATGCCCCTGGATCGGGATGCCTTTCCAGTGCGTTTACTGCTCTAGGGGATAGGTCCCCAGTTCTGGTTAGTCTCAAACAGGAGAAAGCCTCTGGCTACAGAGATGACAGACAGACCCTGCTCCCCAAAAGCTGATGGGCAACTGACAGAACACACAAGGAAAATGTGGGAGACCTGCTCAGAGGGAGACTACATAGGATATGATGGGAATGGAGGAGGGGGACTTAGCCCCATCTAGAATAGAAGAGTCACGAATGGGGGTGGCTGAGTCAAGTGCGGTGGCCCTGGAGCCAGACTGCTCAGTCCGAATCCTGGTTCTACTCCTTTGCAGCTGTGAGAGCTTTTGCAACAAAGAGTAATAATAACAGCGCATGTCCAAAGGGTTATCACTTAAAGTTCCAGAACAGTGCCTGGCACATGGTAAGCCCTCAGTCGAGGCGAACTACCACTGTGGGTTAGAGTGTAAGATCCACGAGGGAAAGGGCTTCATTTTACTCATTACTACATCTCTAGTGCCTAACACATAATAGATGCTCAATAAATATTTTTCTCTATCAATACATATTCATTAAATGTTAAATATCGGGGTTTTCTTCTTGCCCATTTCCCATTGGAGACCAGCATTCCCACCTTAAAGAATTTTAAAACAAAAAGGCAACAACAACGAAAATCTTGCCGAATTAAAAAAAAAACAAACCCAATCTGTTTTACTTTGGTAAAGTGAGGTTGGATCATGAAGTCTCCCCCAGTTCCGCCTACTTCTCAGCGAGCAAGAAAAACGAAACGGCAGCCGACAGAAAGGGCGCACGGTTGTAGACTCAGGAACATGGAGAATTTCTTTTTCATTTTTATTAAGAGGCTGATTTCCTGGAATCCTGATTTTTTTTTTCTTTTAACACCAGGCTAATTTCCTTATCCCTGAACCTACGAGCCTGTGTTAATGGGAATAGCAGTTTTGTACTCAGAAAGGAGATAATATCCATAGACTAAAAATATTGTGTCATGTGGCCATTTGCCAGCAACTCGGGAAAGCTTTCTGTAAAACCTGGCATTCTCTTCCCTTTTTAAAGGCTTGTTTAATCAAAGCTGCTCCCTTGATATTCATTCTTGGAAAACAGAAATTAAATAGAATGAGAAGCCGCTGCAGCCCCTCTCTGAGCCACCACCAGCTAAGAAAAGTCCTGAGTAATCAGATCAGTTCAGTTCACAAATGCTTGTCAGACAAGCGCCGGAGTGTCCCCGCTGGGAATATTCCTTTACTGCCACCCCAGGTCTCTCTATTTGCAGCCCCTTTTGCCAGCTACAGTTTGCTCAGGGACACAAAGGCTTCAGGGTGGAAGACAACAGAGCCTGAGCTTCCTGCCCCATTCCCCCTTTATCGTGTCGCTAGTGTCAGGAGAAAGGAGGGTGAGGGGAAGCTGGCCCAGTTTCCTGAAATGTCAGGCTCCCTGGGGGAGAGCACGCCACCTCAGTGGGGCTCGCTCACTGCAGCCCGAGCCACAAGCAAATCGCGATCCGACTTGTGCTGCTTGGCAGCTATCCATGGCTTTCAGGCCTGCCGTGGAATCAAGCGACAAGATTTCAGCCTCCAGTCTCCCAAGAACAGAGCCGTCAACTTCCAGGGGCCAAGTTTCCAGGGAGAAGGAAGGACCTTTATTCCTCCCAAGGCCAGGAGTGCCAATGGCTCAGCAAGCCCCCAAGATCATGCCCCCAACCTCCCCCCACAGCCCCCCACAGAGGACTCACAGCACACACCATCATCTTCCAACCTGCTTATGGCCGGTTATAAATACGAGGCCACGTTCCCGCTGCATTTTTTCAGTGTAAGGTGAATATTTTATAAAAGTCTTGATTCCTCTTTCTTCCCCTGTCCCACCCCTATCCCAGCTCAGAGATAGGTGGTGGGGGACAGAAGTAGGAGGGAAGGGTGTCTGGGAGAAAGAAAAAAAAAAACCATAAAAAAATCCTACTGCAGCCTTTAACTTGGCTTGGCTAGTGCAGTATTGTTATGAGGGTGAGCTAAGTGGGTGGTATGCAAGTATTTGAATGTTTTTAAGAAGAGCCACATTTACAAATGAAAAATGCTATGGGTATGTAATCCTTTACTGGTAAAGCTACCAAGGATTCGACCCTCTCATACTTTCTCATTCCTTTTCCATAATCAGCCTGGGTCCTATTCTCTGATTCAGGCTTCACCGATCTTAAGGAGAACACTCCCCATCTATTTGAGGAAGTGTCTCTCCCAACATATGAACAGTCATCAGGGGTGATGTATGTGGTACGGGAATTGTCCAAAACCACTGCTTTTTCCTTTCTTGAGCATTTTAACAAGAAGAACCTGGAGTAGAACTCGTTTTGCAAGGACTCCTGAGTTAGCAGACAGATGTCATGGGGCATTGAACAAATGGTGTACATCTGTGTGTGTGTGCGTGTGTGCGTGTGTGTGTGTGGTGGGGGTAGGGACATGTGGGGAGCAGGAAGGGCGCTGTCACTCAGGAAGTCAAGGGGACACCAAGAACAGAATTTGCCAGAACAAGGTAGAAGGGAAGGAGCAGGGTTTGGGCCAGGAGACCTCGGTTCCCACTAGAGTTCCAGGGCCCAGGCAATGGACTCAGCTCCTTCCCTCATCCGGAAACAAGGGGCTGCTCAAGGCACCTGAAAAGTCCCATCCAGCCAGCACCAGCAAAAAGGACCACTTTATTTCCAGGAAGAGGGAAAGAACAGCTCGCCACCACGTCTCAGAGCCATGCACAAGACGGAGGCAGAGAGAGGCTGACTTCCCCCATCACCCTCCTGGTAGCCCAGCTAGTAGCAAGGTCATTGCTCTTTTAATTTCATCCTTTGTCTGCCCTGGTGAAGACAAAGCACATTTCACTTTATGCAAAAGTCCTTCCCTAATGGAAAGGCCAAGAGAAAGCTCCTTAATGAAGGAATCGCTGCGCTAGATCACTTTGCCTCCAGCTGCGAAAATGATTAACGTCCTGAGAGTCTCCGAGGAGGCTT